TAAGCCCGATTATACAAAATGGTTGTTCAAACCCAAAACAGATATAGCCCTTAGCTTGCAAAAGATAGTCATTACAAAATAAGAGCCTTTCTCTCCACATACACATCCACATTCTTAATTTGGCGGAATCACTACATTATTTCCTGCACCAAAAACCCCATAGGATGAGCATAAAGTCCAGTAGAAAACTCTTAACAAAGTATATACATTTTATACAATTCTCATGAATGAAATGCATATGCTACGCCATGCCAAAAGAAAATCACATCCTTATCTTTTTTTTAAAAAAAATCTTCATGCTCAATGCAACATTGAAATTTTCCAACAAGTCATAAATTTTACATCAATTTCACGGGGTGACAAATACGACTCAGGTAATCCCTAGGTTGGTGTCTGTAAGCAGACATAACTAGCACTACCAAATCTCTACACTACCAGTAGCTAACCGGAAGGCACGTGATACCTACTCCGCGCGTGTTTTCGGTCTTTCACCCTGGACACTCAGGCCAACTTAATCAATCTCATCTACACCTCCTATCCGGACGTACCAACGTATTTACCCCAAACATTTCATAGAAATCAATTTTCTAATATTTCTTTTCTCAATGCAAAAGTTTCCGAATCTTAATACAAAATTTACAACAACCAATGAATTGAGATGAAAATGTAACAATTTATCGTGAAATGAAATGTTCTTCCACTTTCAATCATCTCACACAATGTATTATCCATAATCATACTTCCTATTTCTCATTTCAATGCCTTCACACAAATAGCCATATATTCATTTCCATAATAATCACACTTCTAACAAGTTAGTCACTTCAAGACTATCTCAACGTTTTAGACAATAATTTCCAATATCAACACATATCATAGCCCATGAATTGCATCATTTACATATATATGAAACAATAGAGTATTTTTCAATCATTTATTTATGGTAGTACATCATGGGTAACAAAACAAGATAAAATCCATAAATTTTCAACCCCCTTTTAAGAAAAATCCCAAATTTCTAGGTTTTACCATCAAAAGAGATATTCCCTCATTTTGTTTTTTGAAAGAATAACACCCAAATACCTCATTCCTCCTATAATGTGATTTTCACTCTCAAGAAATAGTTTTTAGAAAAGAGTATGGATTAAACCCACTTTTAAAACTCTTACCATCTTTGAGCCAAAAATCCATCTTTCAATATCAGCAAAGAAATCCCAAAATCAACACAAACTTGCAAAAATGTATATATAACTCAAAGAAATCCCTACCTCAAGTGTTGGAGAAGAAATAAGATGAAAGCCCTAAATCCAATGGTGTTGAAATTTGATCTCTACCACTCAAAATGTAGCTCTAGCTTACCCTTTTAAGATTTGTGAAGAATGTTGGTCAAAATCCCAAAGATTTGCAAGAGATCAAGAGTTTAAAGAGTTTTGGTGTAGAAAAAGTAGAGAGAAGGGAGAGGAAATGATTTTTAGGGAGAGAGAGAGATGAGCAAAAAGTGATACACATACAGCCCCGAAAAGAAAAAAAAAATAGAGATTTCAGATTGCCTAGAGGCCCGCACTTGCGGCGTCCACTCCCGCACGTACGGAGCGTTTTCCCGCACGTGCGGCCTTCATCCCAGTACGTGCGGTGGCCCCTTCCCGCACCTCACTTCACACCTGCCTTTTATGCAGTGTGTAAGCTGAGAAAGCCACACTTCCCCGCACGTACAGCCTCATCCCCCGCACGTGCGGTCCTCTCTTGCACGTATGACCCAAGGCCTCGCACGTACGGCCCTGGTTCTCTAGCCTATAATTTTTCTGGTTCGATTCCAGACACTCCGGACTCGATCGTGCACCCTCCAAAACAAATGACACTCAACCCGAAATAAACAAGGACCAAAATTTGAGAAAAAGCTTTCGAACACAACAAACCCAAAGAGGACAATAAGTGAAGTGACGTACAATGAAACTGGTCATCACAACTTCCTCACCATAGGAAATTTCGTCCCTGAAATTAGAATAAACTACCCAAACAAGATAAAAACGCCAAGTGGTCAAAACCATACGAGATGTTGTTTTCAATTCACAATAACTATTTTCAATCAAAATTCGTCATTCTCATCATAGTTTCCAAGCATCTAGACTCAAGGCTAACAACAACGGTTCATAATATCATATAAGCATGAAATATTTCGATCAACAACAATGGCCACCCATATCAATCTCATACTCAAAACAACAATACTTATAATAACACATGATTAATATGCTTACTGTGTTTCTTTCAACACTAAGGAATATTACAAATTAAAACTACTTAAGCATTCACAAACAAATCTGAATACTTGGATCGGACCTCCGTTTCTCATTCCCAAGTTGCCTCCTCAACCCCGTGGTGTTTCCACAACACTTTTACCAACGGTATAGTTTTGCCCCGTAGCACTTGCTCTCGGGTGTCTAAAATTTGAACCAGTCGCTCTTCGTAAGAGGCATCCTCATCTACCTCCAAATCAATCCAATCAAGCACATGTGAAGGGTCAGGTTCATACTTTCTAAGCATAGACACATGAAACACATTGTGAACCCCCGAAAGTTATGGCGATAAGGCTGACCGATATGCCACTTCCCCAACTCGCTTCAAAATCTCAAAAGGCCCAATGAACCTTGGAGATAATTTATCACTCTTACCAAATCTCATTAAACCCCGCCTGGGTGAGATTTTAAGGAACACATGGTCACCAACCTCGAAGGATAAGGATAGTCTCCTTTTATCAGCATAACTCTTTTGTCGGCTTTGAGCCGTAGCTAACCTCTTTCGAATGAGGGCAACTTTCTCGGTTGTCTCTCTAACCATCTCCGGACCCAATAATGGTGCATCACCCACCTCAGCCCAACAAACTGGCGATTTACAAGGCCGACCATACAAGGCCTCAAATGGTGCCATCTCAGTGCTAGCTTGGTAACTATTGTTATAGGCAAACTCAATCAATGATAGGTGCCTCTCCCAAGATCCCTTGAAATCAAGGACGCAAGCTCTAAGCATGTCCTCTAAAATCTGGGTGGTACGCTCTGACTTCCCATCGGTTTGAAGATGATAAGCAGTGCTAAAGGTCAACTTAATTCCTAACGCCTCTCGAAGGCTTTGCCACAACCGGGCCGTAAAATGAGGATCTCTATCCGACACTATGGCCACAGGGACCCCATGAAGTCGAACTATCTCTCTAATGTACAACTCGGCCAAATGCTCAATTGAATCACCGGTGCGCATTGGAATGAAATGCGCTGACTTAGTCAACCTATTGACAATCACCCAAATGGCATCATTACCCCGTTGTGTTCTAGGAGGTCCAACTACGAAATCCATGGTGACGTGTTCCCATTTCTACTCGACTATCAATAGGGGTTGTAACAAACCCGCTGACTTCTGGTGTTCGATCTTCACTTGTTGACAAGTAAGGCACTTCGATACAAATAAAGCAATATCTCGTTTCATACCCCTCCACCAAAACTGACGACTAAGATCATGATACATTTTGGTGCCTCCTAGATGTATCGCAAGGCGTGAGTGATGGAATTCTCGAAGCACCTCCTCTCTACAAGACTCTGGTACAAACAAACGATCTAAATAACGTACACTTAGATCCGGGTGAATGTTCAAACCCCTCTCTTCTTTCCTGTTGGAGATCCTCTCACGGATTAACTACACCTCACGGTCACCTTGTTGTGCCTCTATGACTCAACTAATCAAAGTAGGTTGAACAACCAGTGTAGACATGGTAGCACCCCCGCTAAACTCACCCAAGTGCAAGCTGAGAAAACACGAGTCAAATAACCTATGTTTTCAAAATCTAGCGTTGTCCCTACTCATCCTACATTAGTAACTTTTCTCATATTAATGTAATTTAAGAAGGCTATGACTTGTAATGGCTATCCTGTTTTATACTCTAAAATAGGTTCATAAGACTTGCAATGGTCCAAGCAGGTTATAGCTGTAGAACTTAATCTTTGTTGTGTTTGTTCTGAGGAATAAGAGTATGTGACTAGATTATATATCCTAGGCAATATTGAATTTTCATGTTTAGATATAAAAGTGGACTTTTGGATTAACAGTCCTCCCAAACTGTATATCCTCCATTTGAGGGATTATTGAGTCCCTCAAGGACGATGGAATATGAAAATAGGGGATTGATGAGGGTCTAGATTTAGCAGTTAAAATATCAAATATCCTCAAACTATAGTCATTACACCATGTAATCCATGTCTAGTGATTTCAAATAAACATGGGTTATGGCATGATTCTATTAATCGCTTCTTAATCCAAGGGCATTCCAGACATAGAATAGAACATATAATCCTAAATGATTGATAATCAAAGAACATTTAATCATGGACTAATAGTCCCATGTAATCTAGTCCAACTTGTCCAAATAATCAAAATTCAGAACTGAATTACATAAGTTATTTTGTTACCTTAACTTTTTCTTTCATTGAGGATTAGAAAGAACTGAAAGCTAGTGGTGTTGTGGAAGCATGGTTGTTGACTGTCGAAGAAAATGCTGTTGCATATGTAAAGTTGTAGTTGATGTTTGTTTCCACCTCTATCAATCCCTCCAAATCCTTAACCACAATAGCCATGGAAGGCCTTCTTGATTGATCAATCTACAAACACCAAGCTTCAATCTTTATCATCCTGACCACCTCCTCAGCATGATATTGTTTGACTCCTTCATCCATGTTTTCCACCATGTCAAGTAGTTCATACTTAGCCCTCTCCCGCAACACTTGAAGCAGATGTTTTCTAGATTCTGATTGTGTGCTGTCAAAGTTTCGGCGGCCACTAACTATCTCAAGAAGAACAATTCCAAAGCTATAAATATCAGCTTTGATGGTGACTCTTGCTTGTCACTACTGTGGAGCAATACATCCAAGAGTTTTTCTCATTGTGGTCAGAACATGGCTTTCGTCTCTGTTTATCAACTTGGATAACCCAAAATTAGAGATTTTGGCACTAAATCTTCATCCAAGAGAATGCTTTGTGGCTTTATATGGAGGTGAATTATTCTCTGTCGGCATTCTTAATCCAGGTAAGCCAGCCCATTGGCTATGTGAAGTATAATCTTCTTCTGACCTTTGCCAATTAAGGCAAGGTCTTTGGTTATTCCAGAAAATCCAGTTATCCAAAGAGCCATTAGTCATATACTCGTATACTAGAAGCCTACAAGATTTTTTTGTACAAAACCCAATCAACCTCACAAGATTAACATGGTGTATATGTCCAAATGTCTCAACTTCAGCAAAGAATTCCTTTATCTCTTGGCCCAATTTATCCAAACGCTTCGCTGCAATCTGAGTGCCTTCTTCCAACACCTCTTTGAACACAGTTCCAAATGCTCCACCTCCCAATCTTTCCTTAAAATCTTCTGTTGTAACATATAGTTGTTCATATGAAAACCTCACTAGACTTCCTGGAACTTGCTTCATACAGTCCTCCTCGTTCTTTGAGCAGCTCGGGCACAACATCACAAAGCATGTAACAATTGTAACAACAAAAATTAAAAAGGCACCATAGATTGCTTTTCGTGCTCCTTTCGTATATGACTAGCCCTACAGTTCGGACTCCCGTGGTTCTGAATCTGATTCCACAAGTGCAATGTGAAATAGATAAACACAAATGAGTCCAAATCCGGCAATTCTTTTGGAAAGTCGATTTAGAATCAAAACGCCAAAAATGGACTGCTTTGCCAGATTATAGAGTCGCCACCTAAATATTTTTGAGAAATTTAGAAAATCCGAGACTTGTGCCAAAGGCACTTATCCATTATCACCAAAGTGTCTCGGCTCGGGAACTTATGTACGAGAGGGGAATGTCATGAGTTGAGCACCCCACTCGCCTGATCAAAGATTGGGCTCTACTAATCATGATGTGAATCTTATGTACATTATATGCTCTTATTTCGATTATTAGGCTAATTTACTATGTGATGCACACAAGTATAGACTAATTTGCAAAAGTTGGAACATTTTGATTTTATGTTTGTTTGAAAAGTGTTTTAAATATGTACCACTTGAAAAAGTGATCTCATATGTACATTCATCAAGTATCCCAATTCAAGCAATTAGCCTTTATCCACAGGCATCCAAACAGGTATATCAATTAAACACTTAGCCTCATGGCAATCATGCTTGACATATCAACAATCACATGCATGCGATATGCTAAAGCAATAAGTGCTCACCTAGTACTCCGAGGCAAGCCAAACAAAGCAAAAGAATTAGAAAAGCATGCATGCCTCTAACTAATGCAATATGACTAATGCAACACATGCAACACAACTTTAAATAGACTCAGCTACTAACATGGCATGTGAATCAATTTGATAGCATGCGGTTCAAGCACGTTTTCAAAGAAGTAATAATTAACAATGTGAGTTAGAATGATGAGCCGAACTTTTATGTATACAAGACACATGGATGCAAAGCATGAAAAATGCTAAACGAAATATGATGTACTACACTATCCATCATAAGCAAGTAAATAAAAAGGAGAAAGAATGGGGGTTGGAAGACATACACAAATTATTACATATTTGCCCTCGCACAAGACGGTTTGAATAAATGTCCTAGTTAATTACTACGAATTAAGTAACTATTACAATACCCAAAATAAATGAATCAACTATTCTATCTAATTATTTACAAGTTAGAACCAATTAATTAATTATAACACAAAATTAATTAACTAAGCTATTACAAGTTCGAAGGAATTACACTTAATTAATTACAAGATACTAATTAACGAGCCACAAGGAGGAAGTGCTTATACATGAAATGCAGATTTGCCACCTGAAAATGCCCCTGTTTGGCTGCCAGAATGATGTTGTTTTGCAATCAAAAATTTGCACTGTTTTTCACCTCAGCCTCTGCTCTGTTCTACAAAAAAAAAGGAAACTACCTGGCTGAAAAAGGTGGCCGACCAGCCAAAAGAAGTGGTCGTCCGTACAGTAAAGGTGGCCGGTTGGCCACAAATGTTTGGTACTGCCCTACTACAACAGACACAAAATAGAGCACAAACAGAGTATTTTTAGGGGATGTTTGTCCACTACGCCTCTCCTTATCATCAAACAGATGAAAGGAAGGGGAGGCTTGATTCGTAAGCTATCAATCGATGCAAATTCATTGCATGATAACTTACGAAGAAAAGGACAAAAGCTTAATAAATGGAGCTAAAAAAAGACCAACAAAAACCTCTCCCTATCATGATATTGATCAAGGGAAGCGGTTGACTTGACCCTTGAACCGTTTTCATCACAAACAAATATGAAACAACTCGAGACTCAATGAGGTCAATTAACGTCTGATTGAAACCTAAACTATTTTGTCATCTTGTTTCATCTTAGCCCCAATTTTAGTACCTCTTTAAATTACCTTCCCATTCATTAGTCATTTTAGTCCAATAATGAAGATTAAGTCCACTAATGGAGAGAAGTGTCAAACAAAGGGTTGTTTTGGGCATGAAAGAGACGTCATGCCTTTGGTAATAAACCTTTGAAGAGATTAAACCATTAAGCACAAGGATCTTTATCTTAAGCTTAAACAACAATCGGTTGAAATGACTTTCAAAGAAAAGAAAAAAGCCAAGAAAAGAGGGATGTTGCAGACGTGATTAGAGGTGAACACAAGTATGAAAAGCACTAAATAAATGCTATCAACTCAAATAGGTTAGTGTCTAATGCCTAAAATATCAAATCTGTAAGGACTATTACACTACAAGCATACTATACAAAGCATAAATGAAATAAACAACCTAAAACAGTCCTAAAATAGTGAAAAATAGTGCTGAAATTCTAAGAGAAAAGCTTGAAAAAGTTAGCTAAAATAATGAGGAAATGAAGCTAGTAAACAAGAACAAGGAGGGGAGGCTAACAGCTCCATTTTTAGGACTTCAAAACACCTTTTTTAGTCTCTGAAAACCTCTGAAATTTAGTGGTAAAAAGCTCAAAAAAAAGTTGATGACAAGATGGGAAACACAAGGGCAAGAGCTTAGAATATAAGGTACAAAGAAGGGTGGTCCACCCCTCTACCTTGGGTAGCTTTTAACCACAAGTTTCAGCCCATAAAAACAGTTGAAAAATAATCCAGAAATAGCAAGTAAAGATGGTAAATAAGTAAGAGAAAGAAGCTAGGAATTATACCTCTTGAAGAGGGGTGACCCTTTAAGTTATAAACCACCAATTTCTCAACCTCAAGAGCTAATATTCAACAAATACAAGGAAAAAAATTTGTAATTAAACTTGCCATTTTATAGTTTAATGATTTACGCTACACTTGAGATTTTAGATTTTTATTTCTATTTTTTTTTATTTTAAAGAATTTGAGAAAATGTGTCTTTTATAATTTTTAAGATTATATGTTAGGTAGACATCAAGCTGCATTTGACTCCCTCATAAACATTTTGCTATAACAAATATTTTAAGGGTGAAAGTACGTATTTTTTGAATGGTTATATATTATTATATTTATAATTAAAAAAATAATATTAATTTCATACTTTCTATGTAATATTAATAAAAAAAATTATTATATTATACAACATTGAAGTATAACTAAAGAATTCTGGGTCAGATAACCTAAAATAATGTTATAATAATAGAAAATAAATATTGGTATTACAGTATATTCTTTTCAAGTGTGTGTTATTAGATTTTCCTTTAAGGTAAGGTTTATATTGACCAATTTCTGAAATTTAAATATAATTAATAATTATATAATTTTTTGTTTTATCTTTTGTTAAAATTTAATGAATTCAAATTAATACAAATAGTTAAAAATTATATAATTATCAGCAACATATAATATAATTTTTAATGTAAAAGAAATGAGAATATATTTTATGTAATATAACTAACAAGATTATTGATAAAAATTAAGTAAATGTTACTATAAATTAACAGTTTAAGTTAAACTTAATAAACTATGTCAAAATATAAAATTTATTATATTTCTTCAAATTTTCAAAGGCACGTAAAGTGTAATTTATCCCTTTTTAAGAGCGATGGTTCACAAATAATTTGATAACATGCAGTACCTTAATAAATAATTTATTAAAAATATAAAATTTTCACTTGACAAGGCCAACACGATATCATGCGGGAAGATGTAATTATTTGGAAGGACTTTTATTATCTGCCTGTAAAATTCCATAAAAACGCAAGATATTTGCAAAAATAATTGTAGCGTTATTAGCTTGTCCTCGAGATTTGGCTCCTTATTGGTCCGGCGTTGAATTGTCGAAGCTCTCTTCAAAAGATGGCAGTGGTGTTTCCGAAGCTGAGAATGTTGAAGAGATAGGAAGGGTGAGAAGGACCAGGTAATTAGCTGGTTTGAGGGTGAAGAACCAAGGTTCACCAGTTTTAGTGGTGACAAATTCCATTCAATTACAAATTCTATGAATTGCATGCACATTGCCACGCCAGTAGAAAAGTCCGTAAATTTATTAGTTGTATTGTATTCTCTTCTGTTATATGGTCCACATGACACGAACTATTTCTTTTTTTTTGTTTATCAGCAAAATGAAAGCTTTATTGATAGAAAAACATTACGAGATATTGGACACAACATCAATAAAAGGAGATAATTAAACTGAATACATGGGCTAATATATTGATTCTCATTCTTTAGAGCAAGCTAAAATTCTCGTGACAAGTTAGGCATTAAATTGATGGAAGTTTTTAGATTCAATTTTCTAATTGATAGGGGATTTGCAGTTCAAAATTTTAATACAACATAGGATGAATACGGAAATCAAGAACAATTGTTTTGAAAATCCTATCATTACATCTCGAGATGCTTTTATCAATATACATTTAGTGGTGACGTCAAAACCTTGTCTTGTGGGAAAAAAGGTCTCCTGTCGTCTATCTCTAAGACTACTTGTTTACCTTCCAAATTTATCTTTTAAATCATTGTTTTAGATTGTGTTATTAACAAAATTCAAAATTAAAACACTATTTTATTTGAGAAACTGAGAGTAATCATATTTTAAATTCTGTTTTTTAAAACAAATTTTGAATTGTTTCAATTCTAATAATTTACTTATTCATTGAACGTGTTTATTTTAATTTATATTTATTTTAGATTTATTGTTTGATAATGAGCAAATTGGTGTGAGCATAAGAAGTTGTTCAATAAATACCAAATATCACACACACTGGAATTAAACCATATAAAGAGTACCAACATGTCACCGTAGCCATGATCGCCTCATCAAGATATACTTAGCCATTCATTTTTCAGCTAGAGTACAGCCCCATTGTGTACTTATTATTTATTTTATTTTTGTGGTTAAGTGGTACGTCCATAAGACTTATTCCATCCATGTACGCATACCATTAATATGTACTTCTGCTACAGCATCTTATTTACCTGGAAGTTATATATACAACATTGACATTCTCCATGGGGCTCATAGTCACTGTTGGCGC